CTCATACATCTCGGCGCAAGGCGGGGAGCAGTCGGGTTCAAACTGACAACCCTGCGCGAGGATTAGTTTTACAGAAAATCGCTCCGAGTGACCTACCGTACTTCGGATCTTACTTCGACCGTATATTTCATCTCGACCTAACCGGCAAACCGAGCCAGGGAGCCCCTTTGCGGCCATCGCGTTAGCAGCTTAGGCGGGACTTGGCTCCACTACTCTGCCGTGCTGACGGAAAACGCCGTATGAACCTTCAGGCGTTACCAAATTTCCTTTAGAAAAACACGCATTTCCTGGTAAATTTATGTATATTTTCCTCCCAATTTATCAGATAATTTTGGTCGCAATTTAACCTAAGGATTCTGAAATTTCAAGGAAAAATATTCATTACTTTTCCAAAAAATAAACATTTTATCGAAGAAAATTCGGTAACTCTCGGATGTTCATACAGCGTTCTTCCTCAGCACGGCAGAGCTGAGGAAAGAAGGCGTGTAAACCTACCGCATAGGCGATTTAACAAGTTGGCAACACTGTTTTCCTCCGTTTCAGTCCACTAAAAATATCGGTGCTTGTAGAAGCAGGCTACCGGGAATCGATTCTTTTACATACATTTAAGTGGAACAATAATAAAGTTTCGACTCAAAGAACACATAAACACCCTGGTATGAATTGGCAGTAGAATCTGTGTTCCAAAATACTATAGACCTACAGCCGGCTGTAAGATTTCCAATAGCTTCTATAGCCGGCTGCACAATTTCTTTAGCCTTTTATAGCCGATGGCGATTAAGCAACTCACAGCCAGGCGATAAAGTGTATGCTAAACGTCACTAATTACGGATGCTAGGACTAGGTGAGTTTTTGGACCACTGCTCTCTTTATGGGCCGCAGTATCTTGATTTATTTTGCGAGGAAAGCTCCGTACTTTTGATGGATGGCTGCCATTACTAATATATTAGAGCGCCTTCAGTTTCGTATGATACTGTGCAATACCTCAGGTGTGAAATAGTTGCTTCAAGCGCCGTGGCACGCTGCGGTGCGGCAGGCGGGCAGCCAGCGCGATACGCGCATTGGCGCCTACAAACCTAACAGGGATACTTCACGCGTTGCGCAATGCGTGAGGTATCCCCGTTAGGTTTGTAGGCACCAGTGCGTCGCCGCTCCGCTTTGTGTTAGGCTCTAATATTTAAACTGACGGAGTCAGTGTTATTCAACTCATGATTTTGAAAAAAATTTTACGGCATTTTGAAATAGGCAAAAATTGTTGTTCTAACGTCAAATCCATTCGAAAAAGCTAATAAGGACAAATCAACAATTTTTCCTGACTTTCTCTTCATTTCCCCTGACATTCCCAGGGTTTCCTTGACTTATTAAAATTCCCCAACAATATCCGGTAATCCCTGAATGTGGCAACCCTGTAATATAAAAAAAAATAGAGGGATCAGCGATGGCGCATCATTACTGGCTAGAGAAGCATGAAATAGCAAACGAACCGATTTTAAAGAAAGAAATAAACAACCCAAGGGAACTAGATGTCTGGGAAAATATTTATTTACCCAGGACAAACAACTTTAATACGGACTCGGTGGGTACTAATATACTGCTGTTCAAATACATAAAAGCATGGCAATAGGCGAATACCAGCGCATGGATCCAGAAGAAAAAGGGAAACACTTTCGTTCACCACCGACTGACGATGGAGTTCTAAACTCCGAAACGCGTCTCTATTAAAAATTTTACCGCAAGTGTGTGACGAAATTTTATAATATTTGAATCAAAAATAAAGTTGCCAACTTCCAAGAATCGGCACTGCATGAACCTCCAACCTTGTCAAATAATTCGAAATGTAGGGGCAACTTGTGCATACTCTGATCAGGAGTATCGGAGGGTTTCAAGGAAAAATGGCATGGATTTTCCGAAAAATAGATCTTTTTTCAAGGGAAAAGTAAAGGGACGATATTTGAAAGTTCCTTGGCGCTTTATCTTATCTCGGCAGTTAGGTACATACTCGTTCCGCCAGTATAGTCATTTACGATGGTTTGTTGATGTCATGCTCTATCCGTCGAAACGTTGGACCTAACTCCGAACAAAAGAATCTAAAAATAGGTAAGAAAAATATTGAAAATTTTTCCCGGGGATTCAGGATGTTTAAAAAAAAAAAGAAAATTCGGCACCTTCTGCAGGATTATACAATAGTTTAGCACACTAGTCTATTAAACTACCGCCCTACCAATATGTGAAACTTGGATATCAAAATTTTGCCAGAAAATATCGTTGCCAAGTTAATAGAAATAGCAGGGAAAAGAAAACTCCTCAAGTGTTCAACAATCTATAACAAACACTTCATGCACACTGGGGCTGTTGCAAACTTCAGCTAGAACAAAAAAGAGTTGATTCTGATATAGAAAATAGATAAAAAATCACTGTGAGCACATCGGAAAAGTCTGAGACACTTTCCACACTTCACAATGTGCATAATATAAATGATTTTATTGTAACCTTCCCTCTTCAAAATCGATACTACGGCGCATTTTCGTAAGAAGAGTCGTGATTATTGAGACGTTCTCTGTAAGAAATATTTCTTCTATTTGCTGCGGCTAGAGTTTGCGACAGTCCCATGCTTTAGACTGATAAAATGGACTGCATTTTGCAATTAGGAACTATAAATTCTGGCCCGGTTTAAAAACAACGTATGTGCCTTTAGTTTCCCTATGCACATAAGTGTTTTGTCAGATGAGCAAGAATTTGTAATTCCAAATTGCAAAATGCAGTCCAAATGTCGGTGAATTCTACATATTCCTCTAGTCTGGATCAGGAAGCGTCGGCAGCGATGGAAAAACTAGGCCTGGCTTTCTGGAACCGGTCCAAATGCAGGGCCTATCGCAGAAACTTATATCCCACTACCGCCCGACGCCAGATTAATCCCGAGCCTATCTGCCCAATTCCGTTGTTACAGCGACTACTTTCCACGCCTGTTAGCTTTGATCCGTAGCAGAATGCCAAAAATGTTTACGGACCGTAATTGCAAAAGTACAGAAGCAGGGCTCGCGGTGCAAGAGGATTAGTTTCCGAGCTGAGCCCGAAACGTGTCGTTACGGAAACTCAATTTGAGGACATTCCCACTCCTCCCTTCGCCCCACTCCCATCTTCAGAACAGGTATTTCCCGGTTTAGACGTTGGGATGCTCTATAAAAAATATTTGTTGATAGCTTAAAAACCAGTGGCGAAGCGTCACTGATTGATTATCGATATTTCCCGTTTGAAGCTATGATAAAGAATCGATAATAACGAGAGTTCGGTGCGTACACCCTGTTAATCGATCTTTTTCCATAGGTTCAAATGGCAAATCAATCGATACATTGGGAAGCATGCCATGGCACGCCACTGTTAAATATTGACTGGGCAGTTTTGCAGGCAAAGACCCCCTTGAAGGAGCAGGGTACCGACTTCTTCTTCTCCTTCTTCTTCGCTTCTGGGGTAGTTGGTTTTTCTGCAGTATATCCCGCACTCATTATCAGGCTTCTCCTAGTGTTGAGTTTTCTTCTTTTTTTTGGTGTGTGTCGCACTAGGTGGTCTTAAAATTTTCAAGGAAACACCCAGATCCGTAGTAACGATTTGCCTAACAACACAGCTGCACAAGAAAAATTTGGAAAAAATTTAGAAGACCTTGGTGAAACAAGAAAAATGATTATTGAGTAACACATTACCTGTGTTGTTTTGCTGATCTGCCACGAAACAAACGGGTTCTAAGTGGTGCCGGTTTGGCTCTATTTGCTCACTGGTTATTTCACATGAACAATAGGATTATGATTGTAAAATTCGGTAATTTAAAAACATTAAGAGAGAGCATTGATTTAAAGAAAAGTTGTGGATTTAACAGAATGTCGGTACTTACAGAGCACAGAGTACTCTGTCCTTACAACAGAAAGTTCTGTAGCTGTATCAAAGAAAATGCAGGAGCACTAAGTACAGAAGTATTTGTGCTATTTGTGGCCCCAATATCAGAATGTGTCTGATTGACGTCATTGTGAAAAAAGTATTTGAGGAAGGACCTTGTCCTAGAGTTTTCCTCCCTCTTAATGGCCGGCAAGTACCGGTATGATTGAAAAGCATTCAAGCTGCATTTCTGATTTCACAGCAGCTTGCGCGTTCGTTTGGCCTTGAAATCCCGCTGCAACTTGTGTGTGTGCGCGT